TCCGATCTGCAAGAAAACTGTTGATCCAATTGCACAATTTCTCGGGAAGCCCATACGAATGAAGCTTCGAAAGAAGCGCTTTGTGACAAACCCGATCGTAGGCCTTCGCTATGTCCAAACTAACGGCCAACCCTTCCCCCTTAGACTCCACTGCCTCCGCCCATCTATGAATTAGGTAACCTATAAGATCACCAGCTAAGCGTGGCAGACGTTGCTCTCCGGCCACCGGCACTCACCAGGCAAAGTGCAGAAGTAAACTTTCTACTTCACGCTGGTATTCTGTGAGGTCGTGGTACCACCCCGGTTAGAGCCGGCCCATCCGTGCACAGCTAAAGCTGCTGCGTGGCTCTACCATTGTCAATAAGTTGACAGTATTTATGGCTAAGACACTAGAAAATATATTATGAAGTGAAAATACAAAAAGGTTGATATAAAGATCAGGGCTGATATTTGGGGCATTCATCCTAGCATAAGGGTGACAAATGAGCACACAGTCCACCTGATGGTAAGTTGCTGTGACCTATAGATATTTACATCTGTCCTCGATTACGAATCAAAATGCTGATACGTTGTCACCCGTGAGGATTAAGATGGAATGTCTCATTTCCAGTATAATGGGTCTCCGGTTCTCGCTCACCATACGAAACAACAGCATTAGGCTGCTATTTTACGCTGGTATTCCGTGAGTGTGTTCTATCCCCGTCGAGCACACGTAAGCAGTACACCACGTAGTAAACTATGCTAAATAATATGCTAACAATAATAATAAATACGTTTAAAAAATTATTTAGATATACTGTACATAAACTTGTAGGAAAATGTCAACATCATTATTACCTTGATTTTATATTTCATAGTCATTAAACTAAAATGCCGTGTAGTGGCGATGTAACAATATCCACTACTTACCATATTTTGTCCCGTGGATGTGGTAAGATGCGACAGAGGGAAATTAAAATAGAAGATGGGCAGCAGCATCTTTCTCATGATAACAACTAATACAAAACTGCGGTTGCCAACCCACCTGCCAAAGGTGGCAAATCTGTGAACTTTACAGGCTGTAATGCATGAATGGATGGATGGAAACTAAAATCATATCATAATAATCTAGGTAGTTATTACATTTCCGTATCTGTCAATAGTCAGTCATCACTTGAATTAAATTTATGACTTCACTTTTGATAAGTGTCCGTTTCGCAACCACGCTGACCACGCCCTGTTCAATCCTAATGCAAGTTTGGTACCTACATAACAGCAAGCCAATAAAAAAAATAAAGTCAGTAGGACATTGACCGTACACTAGCATGCCGGACGCATCTAGATTCAGTCGGCACTACAGTAGTACTTTCACTTGTTTGTTTAGTCTGCTGTACAAATGTCAAGTTTCATTGTAAAATACCTATTTTCTTAAGCTTTATCGTGTCGTACGTGAGTCACGTAACGTGACCAAATGATTTGGACGTAGAATTACGCCAACAAGAACGAACCCACATGGCATGGCTACTTTTCGAAATATTATGGCGTTTGATGACTGGGTCGGAAAACAAAAACGCCTTGCTTTGATTTGTTTGTAACTTTTATGTGTATTGTGTATCTATCGACTGCAGACTGTTGCTAGAATTGTTTAAACTGAATGAAATATACATGATTATTTTAGCATACCTAACTGTTTTATTTGCGTTTACTGTATGTGTATTACTAATTTTTGATCCAAGTAGTGTGCGTTAGATCCTTTTTAGGTAACTACGTCCAAGTTTATTATGCTACATACCTATAATAGTGTAAGCTTGAATGTGGTTCTTGGACTATTTCTTTTGGTGGGTATTGCTGTTGCATACTTGTGTTTAAGTGTGTCGTTGTATCCTTTATTAGTTAAGGTTTAAGAGTCTAAACTATTCACACTCTGGAAACTTATCGCTTCAAAAATATATTAATGGTATAATCACCAATGTTTACAATATTTTAATATTATAAAATCAAAAACATACCAGTTCACAGAACTTGATAATAGTTAGTAGACTGACAGCCATTTTTCATAAATAAACACAGCGTCGTAGTCGTAGCAGCCGCGGCACAGATTAAATAAGGGGAAGTTTAAATTTAAGTGTTTGCAAAATTTTATGAATAAGAGACTGAGTGACAGCCATTGAGTTATATGTACTACGTACTAGACAAGCCATTCCGAACATAGACTATGTTCAACTGAACTGTAGTGCAATCCATACAAACTAAATATTGCGTAAATTGAAGTATTGTGAATTCTATAAAATAATTATTATTACATTTTATTTATAAATATAATATGTTTGTTTAGATTAAATTAAGATATTTTATATTAAATTCTTATATTTATTTTATATTAAATTCTTATATTTATTTTATATTAAATTCTTATATTTATTTTATATAAATATCTTATTTTATATCAAATTAAAGTCTTCGCCCATGCGCGACTACTACTCCCGCGCATGCGCAAAGACATAGAGTAGGACACAATTTTTGTTTGGAATGGCTTCTCTAGTACGTAGTACATCAGTGTGACCATATGTGGCAGGTTCCTGATATTTTGGCAGGATTGGCCTATTATTTTAGCCTCTGGCATGATCGGTTGACGTTTTATAAAACCTGGCAGTATTTGGCAGTATTGGGGTATTAAAATAGATTTCATTATGTCAACTTAAAATGACGAAAATGGTAAGCATGTTGGAGGTTTCCCTGTATTTCTCGATTACTCGTATTATGTTTGTATCACATTCAATTAACAACTTTAAAATTTTTTATGTATAAAGTTAATAATCTTAAAACGAATTTACACGAGTTGGTTAATATTTCAATCAGTCATAAAAGATACGTACTTTAGTTCGGTATCGCCTTAGATTTCATGATGCTCGAAATATTATTAACAAGATGATAATCTTGTTAATAATATTTCGTAGACGATAGTAATTATAGGTGGCGGTGATGAAGCAAAAATATGAAAGGGCGTATAGAGCGAAGTGGGAGCAAGATCTTTTACTTTCATCATGGATCTCCAAAGCTAAAGATGATCCATACTCTGTAACTGCACTCCGGCTGTCCGCTTTAAAGGAGCATGCCACTACAGTAAACTTCAAAAATATGAGTGGATGCAACATGCGAAAGAATATTCTCTCAAATAAATTTAATTAAGACAAAAACACGAAACAGATTTATAAACAAACATTTACTATCTATTTTGTACGTTAAACAAGGCATTGGTGAGCATGGCGATTGCATTGCATTCAAACCAACGAAAGATATGTTTAATTTTAATTTAAAAAAATATAGCATTTATACGTGTATTTTTACTTTTCTTAGTTTAATACAATGGTAAATAAAGTTGGCAGTATTTAGGTATTTTTCACTACAGACTTTGGCAGGATTTGGCAGGTTTTTAACCAAAGTAAGGCAGGATCTGTATTTTAAAGATGGTCACCCTGTAGTACATATAACTCAATGGTGACAGCACTGAACTAACTAACAGACCTATGATCTTGATAAAATTGCTATTTGAAATTAAAAAAATTATAATCATACAATAGCATAGATATTATAGCAGCGTAATGTACTGTAGCCTAATACAAATATACAAACTCTACTAACATTAATGAATTAGTATTATTTATAATAATTTAAATAGTAGATAGGTACCGACTTTGAAAAAAAATTTTTTTTTAAAATATGTATCTACCACCGTGAGACATAACCATTACCTACACAAACAGTAAATAATGACAATAATCGATAAACTGATTATAAATTACAACAACCCCTGATATCAGGCATTTTTACGTGGTAGAGCCATGCTGCAGCTATAATCATAGTATAGTTGTAGCACGAATGGGAAAGACCATGCTCTCACAGAATAGTGTAAAATAGCAGCTTAATGCTGTTGTGTTTCGTATGGTGAGTGTAGAGAACCAGATACCCATTTTACTGGAAAAGAGGCATTCTATCTTAGTCCTCACGGCTGACAACGCATCTGCATTTTAATTCGCAAACGAAGATAGATGTAGGTAGATGTCTATGGGCCACAGTAACCACTTATCATCAGGTGGACTGTGTGCTCGTTTGTCACCCTTATTCTATAAAAAAGTTGTTAAATATATATACCTATATCAGAACAATTTTCGTTGGTACATGAATATAAGACCCTATACCATAGACGGTACATATACATATTACTTATACCACAGAATAAATAACAGTAGGTACAGGAACTTATACTAAGAAATTGGTACGGCTATATACCTAACATCACTATGTGCGCTGAGCGACGGGATATTCGATATAATATGTACTAGTACCTACGTTAATATTTGTCGATATTTACATTCGATATATAGAATATTAAACAATGTATTCTATTAAATGACTAGCGATCCGCCCCAGGCTAGCACGGGTGATTTTTGGATCTCGACAACAGCGTCATCTATCTGGTTCTGGTCCAATTATAAATCTAAACCATGCATGGACGCACTCAAACGTAAACAAAAAAATTCATCTATATATACAACAATCACTTGCTGTCCGTTAGTCTCGCTAAAACTCGAAAACGGCACGAACGAATTAGATGACATTGTGTAATATTCTATATATCGAATGTAAATATCGACAAATGTTAACGTAGGTACTAGTACATATATCGAATACCCCATATAATTTTATATATAAAGATGTGTGCAACATAAGTATTTCAAAAATTCACTTATGTTCCAGTAACGCGTCGTTCCCATGATTGACCTTGACAAAGGAGCTTCGCATTTAACGTGTATCCTATATCTAAGATCTAAAGCTCTAAACTCTAAAACCACCTAGGTAGTTACTTTACCATATTACATTATTGTTCTGTATTAACTTCGTAATAAGTACAAAATAACGTTATAACTATAGTAACCACAAATGTTTACAATAATTTGTAAGCAAACATCTATTTAATAAAATTCTTTAAGTTAAATAGTAAATGATATAAAAAAACATACCAGTTCAAGGAACTTAATAATGGATAGTCGGCTGATAGTCATTTTTTGTAGTTTTACACTTCAAATATTTTATCAAACTTATATAAAATTATAGACACTAGCGTTGTAGTCGCGAACGAAATTGAAACTGAATTTAAAAAAAAGGAACTCTGCGTCTGTGACCGTGTCAAGTGAACGCTCTGCTGTCGCTGTGTGAGTGTGAGTAGAGCGCGCTACAATACTATTATCTACGGTGCTGAGTGTGATGCAGCTTAGTGTAGAACTTCGTAAATATTCGTACATTCGATGTCACCGTTCGATACATCGAACAGTTATGGAAGTTTTGCAAAACAAAAACATTCGATGTATCGATTTATTTTCATATTATTATATTCAATAAATCGATTGATCGATCATGAACAATCAGGTAGATTTTTTTTTCATTTATATGACTGAGTATAGCCAATATTACCTGGTTCTTATCGTCGATGGTACAACACACCTAATATATAACATAACCGCAACTGTTTTGCATGGAGATAGATTGTTACGTACAAATTGTTTTATGAAGCTGCTGAAGTAACTAATCAGTAAAAAAAAAACACTTAAAAATGTAAACTTTTAAATAACTCCTTGTGCTTAGAGTTTGCGGAAAGAACATTAAATTTAAGGGTGTTGTTTTACTAAACCATCATCAAATCCTTGATGTACTTTGTATGATAATTGACAATCATTGAATTAAAAAAATAATTTTAGAGATGTATTTTAAAAGTAGTTTAAGTCATAATAGTTAATGTTTGTATTTTATTATGTAAGTGATGATTACCTATAGGTGATTGTGAATTCTGTCCCAGATTCTTTACTGTAGTGATTAAGTTTTTAATTGATATTACATCAATCTTTGTTAATTATTTAAATAAATAAATAATTGTGGTAATTTTTTAAGGATAAGGGTGACAAGCGAGCACACAGTTCACCTGATTGTAAGTGGTTGCTGTGGCCCATAGACATCTACACCTATCTTCGTTTGCGAATCATAATGCAGACGTGTTGTCAGCCGTGAGGACTAAGATGGAATACCTCTTTTCCAGGAAAAAGGGTCTTCGGTTTTATACACTCTCATACGAAACACAGCAGCATTAAGCTGCTATTTTACGGCTGGGTTAAAATTTAAAAAGATATTTTATTTTGGATATATTGACGTTTACCCCTTTTTGGTAGGTGGCGTGATGAGATTTTTCCGGGATTCATTCCAGACCTTTTATAGTGTAAATTATATAAAATATCTCAGTGTCTATCACGTCCAGATTTTGTGATTTTCTCTTTGGTACCAAACTAAGATAATATATTGTAAATATGAGTAATTTATTGGTCCATAAATATTTATTAATATCACATTTGGATCCTAGCATAACTATGTATGTACCACCGCGCCGTCTCGATAAAACAGATATATTGTGTGATGTGTGAATATGACCTTAATCTTTCAAGTCGTTTAGAATGTTGTTCAGAAGTAACACGATTACTAACAGATACACGAACGATTATGAATATGAGGATTTAATTTTTTTTTCAGATATCATTTTTATACTAGAGATTGATATCTCTAGTATAAAAATGATATCTGATTAATATATTCATAATTACATAATATATTCAGCTCCTACTCTGTCTCAACACCTCTGTTACTCTACGAAATAATACAAGCTAAAATAGTTCGAGATTTTATGAAATTCGATGTTGATGAATCGATGTATGGAAAAACATCGATTTAATATTTCAATTTGTTAAATCGTATAAAAATATCGATGTTCTGTTTATAGCTCTCGATATTCTAGGGGGACACGCCTAGTGCGGCTCGTGTCGGCTACGGCAGTGAATGAGATCATGCATTTCGTAGTGTGACCACGATATTCTTAAAAATCGGGACATACAAAACAAGCTACGTAATCAATTATTATGTGTGTATTAATAAATTGGTATTGTAACAAGCTTGGGATTTAAGGAGAATGTAACAATTTCTCTCCAAATATCCACTACACATGCACGTTGTAATCTTGCTAATCAACGAATATTTCGAAAATGCCACACTCTGCTCTCGCAGGTGTTGAACTACCAATGCAAGGGACATTGGTATTGGTATTGATTACTAATGCCATTCGCATTGGTAATGTTGCTCTGCGCTGTCCAAGCTAGCCCAGTGTACCTAGTACCTATGGGCAAATCTTTCCAGTTAAGCGTATCAGTTAATCCACCAATGAAAAGGCCAGGTAGAAAGATTAAGTGTATTGTTCCCTTTGTTTCCGTGTGTCTCGGTACAGCTTGAGTCATGTCACGATTTTATCTTCCATTTTATGCTATGTCCTCGATTAACAATTTATTTGGGAGCCCTAGAAATACCAGACCCTTACCTTATTTATTCTGTGCTTATGACATCATCTACTAGTGAATCAATAAAACGTAAACATTTTATTGAATGTGCTATCCTAGTACAACGATATTATATAATAATAAATTCTTGCTTTTATAGCAAAACGTGTTTGTTTATTCGTTTAACAAAAAATATATTAAAAAACATCAATATAAAACTTTATTTTTCAAATCAGTATTTTATTAAAATATAAATATTCAGCCTTTTTGTCAAAATTGCTTTTAATATAAGATAATTTTATATAGTATACTCCTGATCAATTTTTTGTTACTAAATTCCATTTTGTTAAGTAGATATGTACGTTTACGACTTATATATACTAGTACATACATATTATGTGTCTTTGGTTTCTCGGAAACGGTTCTAACGATTCGAATGAAATATCGTTTTTTTTATTCTACAATAATTTAAGGGACATTTACCGCTTAGCGTATGTTAGTCCCATCATACCCTAACATACATCTCTTACTCATATAACGTTAGTTAATACTTATTATGAAATATCGTATTTAGATAATGTTAAAGTTTCCTCAGCTTATCAAAACATGGTTCATTGATAAATAAAGAAGTCTGTTAGCCGCGGCGCCACAGTCTTCGCGAAATTTGACATTTTGAGGTTCAATAAATAAATAAGTACATTATGTAGGTACCTACTTTTTAGTTCGCTTATGTGATTCCGCGGGACTTCTTTCGTAAAACTGATTTTATTTAAAACTGAAACTAAATATAAAGTACTTGTTGGTATAAGGCCGTCCAATTTTATTTAGTTAGAACTCCTGAGAATCGGCCATGTAGGTACATAGTAATTATCATTCAAGAAATTTAAATAAAAATATACATTTATATATACATTTAAATTATATTAAAATACTTAAATAGGTAATACCTCCATGTAGTTTTTGTTGGTGCTACAATCAATTTGAATCATTTGTGTACCAACGTGACACCATAAGCTAAAAAGATAATTGGCAAAGGAGTTTATGGACATTGAAATAATAAACGTAAGTACATTATACTTCAATGTCTACGGACATGTTGTTAGCCCCTCTAATGAAGCCTATATTATTATTGTAAATGTATTGTTGATTGATATTGGCCAAAGCAAAAATGCGAAGAAAAATCTGAATTTATTACTATTCCATGTAATTGCGTATTTACGCAACACGTTAACAGGTATTTGGTGCATGAATAAAACTCGCTCGAAACTCGAAATGGGCAAGACTGGGCTAGACAGACAGTGAATAAGATATCGCTGTCCAATTAACAAAGTTGAGTGAAAATATTCCACCTGTTAACCACCACAGACTAATTTTGTTAAGTTTACTAATTGTAGAGCTCTGAACTCTACATTGTCTCTAATAAGAACTTAACAGCAGAGTACACAGTTATAATGCAAACAAAATGTTTGTTCTATCGGATGCAATTATAAAATTTCACTTTTAAATATTATTATTATATTATGGTAAACTAAAACGGATATACTTAATCTTAATACTGGTAAATATACGAGGCCCACTCAGAAAGGTTTGCGAAACTAAAGAAGTTCTATGCTTACAGTTTTTATTATTAAATCTTTTCAAAGAACACTCCACTACTATCTTCAAAGTTAAGTTAAAAAACACCCGAAACAAAAATGGCTGAACAGATTTTTTGTAACATAGCTAAGAACACTCTCGATTGACACACCTTTCAAACGAAAAATACTTCATCAAAATCGTATCGTACTATAACACTACAGACAGACAGACACACAGATACACACTACAAACTTGTAACACTCTTCTATTTTGAGTCGGCGCTTAAAAAAGTGTTATTATAATATCAAGGAATATACATATGAAAGGAAATAACCCCTGGGGATGATGTTATCGCCACCATGCTGGTTCTATTAAGCCGTTTGAAGATCATCAGCTCTATTTGTCTAGGAGGTTTTTTAAAAAAAATTTAAGTGAAGTATATCATTTTATTAACGCAAAAAGCGCTGGCGCGTTGTCAAGTTTAAGCAGTATTCTGTGCCCGGTCGTTGTTGCTCACAGCAGTGAAACTTCTGGCAAGCATTTCATAGTATCCTACGTGTAGTCCAGTCAATCCGTTGGGCTGTGTCGGTCACTCTGGTTCTACTGCGGATATCCTCATTTCTAAGTTTATCACGCAGAGAAACTCCGAGCATAGTCCCCTCCATAGCTCGCTGAGCGACCTTGAGCTTCCTCATACGGCCAGCAGTGACAGGACCACGTCTCAGTTTCGTATGTCATCACTGGCAACAAGCACTGGTTGTACAATTTCGTTTTAAGGTTCTGACGAGAAGATGTAACATAGTTTCCCGAACGCTGCCCAGCCGAGTTGAATCCGTCGATTGACCTCTCGGTCGAAGTTGGACTTACCTAGTCGGACTATTTGTCCCAGGTAAACATACTCGTCAACAACTTCGAGCTTAGTGCTCCCAACAACTACCGGCATAGGTGTGACATGGACATTAAACATGATCTTTGTTTTGTCCATGTTCATCTTAAGACCTATCCGTTGGGAGACACTATTGAGGTCATTGAGCATGGTGCTTAGATCCTCTAGCGATTCTGCCATAAGGACTATATCGTCGGCAAATCGAAGGTGAGTGATGTACTCGCCATTG